TCCGGATGGGTATAATGACGCTCACCGGGTGCCGATGAGACATACAGGGTGGGTGATCCGCGCCGTGGTTTTATTTTGCTTATACTGTACCGGATTCACGCGTGCGGGCGGGCTTGCCTATCGTCGCTCGCCAAGGCGCCTTATGGCCCCGTGCGAGTATGCAACCCGTCCGCACGCATGAATCCGGTACAGTATAAGCAGAAAAAAACCACGGCGCGGATCACCCACCCTGTATGGTAGGCCGACACATGATCAGAACGGCTAATTAATTTTCACTGTATTGACAAGGAATTGTTTTCCTCATAATGAAGTTTACTAATTAGCTGCTCCGCTTTCATCGACAACAAACACTGTGTAAGTAGCGTGCAAGTGCTAAAAAAAATATGTTTGAAACTTTTAAGTGTTTGACTTGTTTCACTGGACATTGCGATACAGGGTGGGTGATCTGCGCCGTCTTTTTTTAATGCTAATACTGTACCGGATTCACACGAGGGGGCTGGATTGCCTACCGTCGCGTCGCTCACCATGGTGCCTTACGGCGCCGTGCGAGTATGCAACCCGTCCGCACGTAAGAATCCGGTACAGTATAAGGATTCAAAAAAGACGGCGCGGATCACCCACCTTGTACTAAAACGTGTTTAAAACTTAGTGTTGAATTCTACTATGTGCATACCGATACCGGTTGCACGCTTCTGCTCTGAGTGTATTTATTGTTTTTGTCTCGCCATTAATGTGAGCGCTCGTGATTTGATATGTTTGTCCGTGTGTAGCCTATCAACGAAAGAATGCCCGTTCCTGGCACAAGCAGAAATGCGCTTGAATGATTAGAAAATATATGCCCTGCGTTCAATCTTATTTGGCCTTAAGTGCAATAAAAATATTGGTATGTACTAACGTAAAACAGGATCTACGCAGGGCATGTTCTTTACACATTTAATTGCATTCATTCGGCCAGCAACGAGCCCTTTTAGGGAATATTGAGCCGCAGGCAGGCAGAGGGGCTGGAGATGGCGTAGCTACAAAATACCACGCACTCCAATGCGAGAGAGAGAGAGAGAGAGAGAGAGAGAGAGAGAGAGAGAGAGCTAGCTAGCTCCCCTGGTTCTGGTTGAAGAATGTTGTGGTATCGAGTAGATCGTGTGATTAAGCCCTACCCCCTTTCCTGATGGATAAGCTCGGTTAAGCTACTTTGCATTCAAATCATTTAAAAATCTGTTTCACGTCCCGGTGTGCAATTTGAAAGATAGTGAATAAATCTTTTTCAAAAAATGTAAGTTTTTTTCTCCTAACCTTGGCAACAGCAGTTACCAGACGGTTTCCACCGATCACGGGGAGAGAGGGGTGTCGTCGAGGAGGGGGTGTTGTCCGCCATGCCCCCATGTCGTTGACCTTGACACTCGATGGCGCTCACATTAACGGATCAGTCAACAAAGTACGTACGGCACATCTCGAATAACCCTAGCCTGCCTAATCTACCCTAAGTAAGATAATGTCCAAGCGACCTGCCCTATACTCGCAGCACAAGTTGATCGACCATGGAACATCGAACATTTTGAATAAAAATTAAATGTAATCTTGACCACGAGGTACGCCCCTACGTAACATTTTGAGAACAAAGCTGAAGGGCGGGTCGGCGGGCCCTCTGTCCGGCCGTGGGTTGCAGGGCGAAGCCAGAGACCAGTTTCGGCGGTGCGAGGTTGACCACATGTGTCAGTACGCAGGTATACACTTACATCACACCAAGAAAGGTCATATAGACAATCTACAGAATCTATAGCACCGTCTCTACTGGGCCTTTATGAAGAAGACATACTTTACATGCTTAGAAAACATGACTCATACTCCTTTTTGCCCAAACTGCACACTCTTTAGAAATTTCCGTCGGTTTCATCATTACGTCTGCATAACTATGTATCGGTATGTTTATTTTAACAAATCGTAACTGTTTGAGGGAAGTGTACATTGAACGCTGAAACACTGGAATAAATTCCATATTCATGCGCGTTTACCTTCATTCTGCGGTTTCGGCGGTCGGTGTAGAGAGTGCGGCGGGGGGTGCAGCGCTGGGTGCAGCGGTGGGCGCGGCGCGGAGCGGAGCGCGAGGGTGCAGCACCGGGACTCGGACGTAGTGGGCACGCCTTGGAGGGTCGCTGTGGACTGACCGGTCCGCCGGCCCAGCAGCGCGCAGAGCGGGGCAGAGCCACCGACAGGGCTGAATGGAGCTATAGGCCCTGGAGAGGGGAGTGGCAGAGAGGGGGAAGCAGCGGCGGGCAAGGGCTTCTGGAAAGAGAGACAGAGATTTGAGGGGGGGGGGGTAGAACTGGTAGGTGAGTCTGCAAAGCTAGGCTGGAAAACTGTCACGTCCATGTCCAGGGTATCCGTTAGAAAATAAATAAATATAAAGATAAAGAAATAAATTACTGTGTAGGCCTAGTCATATCCTAAAATAATGTGTGCACTGGAAACGCAAGTGTGTGAGTGTCGCACAGGTGTGTGAATATCCATTCATACACTTACGGGGGTAAACGTGTGTATTTCCTTTGAAAAATTCACAACTTTACCCATCTAAGTGTACGAATGGATATTCACACACTTACAAGTGAGTGACATTCACACACTTGCGTTTCCAGTGTGACTGATGCACATTATAAAGTTTGTTTGTGTTTACCTCGGCGTTAACCGTCCAGAGTTTCAAGTGTTGCCTCCAGTTTGGGCCAGATGTGGGGCCGGGAGCCGCGCCCGATGGGCTGCATACCAACCAGGCGGGCGCAAGGGAAAACAAGAAGGGCTGGCCCTGGCTGCCACCATCCGGCGTTGACCTGGTTCATGTATCAAGGACAGTATTAACGTCGACCTGGAGATGTGGACACGTAGAGACTGATTCATCTCTATCATATTACCATCAAAACACTTCAGACACTGCCGATGTTGACTTTATTCTAGCAAATCAATTGTTATGTTGTTGTGTGTTAAGTTATAATACTGATTTGGAGTAGGATTAGGAGAAAAAGAGCATCGTCATAGTGTTAAAACGTATTTATTTGAAATTAACAATATACACGAACATTCATCCAACATAGCAACATGAGCCAACTGGACTCAACGACCTATCAGGGTGTAGTTTATATATATCTCAGTTGTACAGTCGGCTGCCGACCCCATCAGGAATATCTTAACAGTGAGCAAACAAACTATGTAATTTAAATACGAGATTACCTCATAATTACAACACGAATAGCGCACAGCGGTGGGGTGGGGCGGGGGAGGGGCGGAGGCAGCCCCGCCCCCGCCGTGGAAGTCCCATCACACGCCGGCTCTACCCGACGTACTTACATCATGAGTCCGTTTTGAGCAGAAACGGCCAATTCAAAAAACAGGTTTCTTACAGTGGACTCTGAACGGAAGTTAACGTTTGCGAACAAAGCGAGACGTGAGCCAAACGTCGCACCATGAGGGCAAATACTTCACCAAGTGCTCTAAAATAAAATCCGTAGAAATTAAAATGCTGCCTTCGCCTTCCCGTTTCCGCCATGCGCTCTAAGTGAGGCCATGTAACAATGACGATAAGCTAAAAATTTGTACAAATTGTACAATAGGGAGACCGGCTGAGCTACAAACAAGTATGCCACTAGTTCGAAAATTTTGGCCATTCATCTGTACCGGTACGTACAAATCATCTCGCTGCCCCTGACTCGTATACCAGGGCTGGCGGTTTAGATGCTAACGGACACAACCTACGTATCTCGAAAGGGCAGAGGAATTCTCTGGATCGCGCCCTTCTCCTTTGCATTTTCAAATCCATGCGTCTCCCAAACAGTTTAAGCACAAAGACTTGAAAATCAATTTTAAGTTTAAATTGAGTCACAACGAGATGAAAATTTCTATTATTTTTGTTGCTGAGTTTTATAGGAAGCATTGACTTTTCCTACAATTTGTCCTTTAAGTCAAATAAACGGCTGTAGTACAAAATATTTCAATGCCTTTCATCCTAGTCCACCTTATATACAGCTTACTATTTATCAGTCTCACACACATAGTATATGTATATATTTACATGACACATTTTGAATAAATATTTAATGTAGCTTACGCGATATTTGTCAACAGTGTTCCGGACTATTGTGATTGGGACATGTGGGGTCGTCCATCCACTCGCACGACGTTTGTCCACAAAACCTTTTTTTGTGACGAAATTCCACAAATTTTCTCTTTTCAATTGACAGCAACCTCAGTCCCGGTTTAGACGTGGATTCCACGACGGAGTTTGCTTCACACGTCGCGAAATGATATGGTTGAGGCGTGACGAGTATACCACGATGCACAGAAATAATTACACCTCATGAAGGGGCGAAAACCCATCACAGCGCAAAAAAAAGTTTGCGCAATCCCAATATGACAATCATCAAGGCTTAATCTATTCCAATCCGGGAAACCCAAAATCAGCAAAACGACGAGGAAGACAAATCTGTGCGCGGTGCAACTTATTATTCTTTGACTCATCGTAAGAAGAAGTATGCTCTTGCACACTATAAACATGTACGTCTCTTAACAAATATTACAAAAATAAATACCATCGCCTTTTTTTCCTTCTCCCATATTCTTCGTAAACCTCCGTAGATACACTAAACTCCACGGCCCGGCCCGTGAGACTGGACCAACACCTTCACTTGAACGTCACAGCTAAACTTGCAATCGCAGGGCCGCCGGGGCCCGGGGCCGCTACCCTCGTAGCGTAAAAATATCGTATTTCCAGCGAGATTGCGCCGACCTCGTATCTACGATTAATACCCGTCGCAAATAGTTCATAAAGTATCAGGGCTGTTGCGTCTCGCCCGTAAACGTTTCTCTCAGTTATATAAATGATTTTCCAAAATTCCTCGGATCACAAGCATCATAACAATACATATATAG